TTTCAATTGTGGTTGTAAGCTCTTTGGGGACAAAGGCCTTTTGCCTATCATGCAAAACACAATGAGGCCTGACCCTAATAGTGACCCATGAGTGCACTATGGTACTGCTGCTGCCACTATATTTAAAGGGCTTATCAACAATATTTTACTTCCAGCATTTATTATCTACTACCACTTTAAAAACTAACTTGTATTTTGTCGCTGCCCATTTCTATTTTAGCTTTTCAGACTCTGAAGTATTCCTCACAGATGCACTCAGCTGGTGCATGGATCTAGTGAATAAGCAAGTCTTTCCATTCAAATTCAGGCTAAGGGTTTCCTGTTTGATACAAATTGTATAGAGTGCGTTATTACCCAGATTAATAGCTGCAGTCTGACAAAGTGCTTTGCTTTTTGTTTTTGCCTTTTTTTTGTGGCTGATGTGCTTGAAAACAGAACGGTCTGATGGAAATTTTCTCTATGCCTTTAAGAAAGTGCGCCGCGAAGCTGGTGGGAGCTACTGGAAATAGGAAGGGTATCTTGTTTTCAGGATAAACATGGGAGAAATAACATCACCTGCCTCTGGCCTTTTAACTACTTATATTCAGCTCACAGTGTCCTTGCAAACAGGGCTATATGAGAACTTTGGGAACATAGAGTCTTACAGCAGATAATCCTAAAATTATTTTCCATATGGTTGGGAGGGAGTAAAACCCTGTCCAGAGATTGTTTAACCCAAGTTATAAAGATTACATCCTACAGCCAACAGAAATCTAATTCGCTGCAAGTGTTATGTTTAAAGATGAAGATGCTGGGGGAGATTTTCAAAAGCGTGAAGGGTATGTTTACATGGCAAAGTGCAGCACAGAGACCTGAGCTAGTTCTGAATGAGCTAACGTCATCGGCTTCCCAGCAAGGCTAATTAGCCTGCATGAAGCTCCACGCAAACAGAGAATAGAGCAGAAGTAGGGCTGGAGGGCACCTCAGGAGGACTTCTAGCTCAGCCCCCTACTCAAAGAAGGATCATTTCTTCTAAACCATCCTCAAAAAGTATCTGTCTAACCTGATTTTAAAAGTTTTGGGAACAACCCTCACACATGGTTATGCTGCTCCTGGGACATGGGCTAGCCTATTCATAGCTGCAGGGCACTGTATTCTGCTCTGTAGTTGTGCTCAAGGGGCCTAACAGGTACCCTGATCCCTTTGAAAATTGTCAACAGAAGCTGTCCACCAAACTTCCACTTGTGCTTTGGAAATTCTCAACCAATATGCCTGGACTAGGGCTATGTTAAAAAAACCCAGAGTGCTGCAGAGCACAGGATCCTCCAAGTACAGTCTGAGCAGTGGCAGCCCAAGAGTGGAAAAGGAGCTCCCTTGAACCCTAGCTCTCTCTGCCCTGTTCATTTCTAGCACCATTCAAAGGGGCTCATTCTTTTTCTCCCTATCTTCCTCTGCTCATTGGCAGCTACAAGCAGCTTTCAGTCTGCACCTGCAGCTGAGCACAGTGCATGGAGGCTTGCTAGAGAGAGGCAGGCATGATGGAAGAATGAAGAGGCTGGGTATCATGTCTGGATTTCCTAATAAAATCATCATGCTGTGCCTGGGCTCACTGAGCTACCCTCTGATCTCAGTGTCTTACCACCTTTATCTTTCCCTTCTTCCCTTTTTCAGCCATTTCTCTTTCCTTCTTGTTGTGTTACATCTGGAGTTAGATTGGGCGCTCCTGGGGTTGGGTGCTTGACCTTTGCTTTATCCAATGAAGTGTCCAGCAAAACAAACCTGGAATCACAATCATGTGGGTTTTATACTGTGGATTTTACAGTCTGACTTGGAAACCAGCCTGCTTGGCTTGGGTTTTACACAGTCAGATGTCAGAGAACCTGCCAAAGGACTGTCAACAAAGAGGAAAAACAAAGGGCAACAAATGAGGTGGGGGCAGTGTCTAGTGCTGGTGAGTAGCTGTGGTATTAGGTTTGGTCTGATTGAACATCTTCAATAATGCTCTGGAATGGAGGTTAAGGACATTTGCGGGTGATATTGAAGGGGAAGCAAACCATAGTGAGGATGGGTTTATACATTCCCCCTCTCAGGAACGCTCTACATTTCTATGGTGCGCCTAAAGAATAGTCAACGGAGGGGCTGACTGCTCTTGTGAGCCTTGTCCAGAGGGACAGAACCCTCCACACTTGACCCTTGCCCTGCTGAATAGATACACCTTCAGCTCCTAGAGTGGCACCACCCCGCATTTGCCCAGCCTCTAGGGAGGGCACTCTGCAGTTGCAGTGCAGTAGGGAGAGAGAAGGGAAAATATCTCTCCCCAAGGACTGAAGAGCTTAGGGCATGAACATAACAGCATGAATCTGCGGCCTCCCATCCTGTCTGGTAGGGAACTGTCTTTAAGGAGTCTTCTAAGAGTATCTCTAGTAGTGGGGCTCCGCATTTCCTATAGAGCAAGGCTACAAACTATGAGCCTCCCTGCAGAAATCTCCAGCCTCCCATGTACCAAAATTCCCAGAGACCCATGCAGCTCCTGGACAGCTGGCAGGGTCTAGGATACAGCCCCATAGACTCTTCATCGAGGAAGAAGTACAGGCTCCCCAAAGGAAAAGCTGGGAAGAAATTTCAGCAAGAGAGCCACCTCTTTGCTCTAAGCCCTGTGGTAAAGGACAAGTGTACCTTGAGACATCTGTAAAGATTCCAACATCCTTTGGACACTAGGGCCCAATCCCACAAAACACCAAAGTAAGCAGAGGCATAACAATGCAGCCAGGTACCCAGGGCAGCTGTGGCACAGGGGCAGCTGCAACTTTTAGCTGCCACTAGGTTGCTCACATGATCATGAAACTGCAGTGGCTGTGGGTATTTTTTGCCCCACTTGTCCCCCCAAAATGGTGCCCAAGTTGGCTGTCCCAATCACCCTGCCCTAATTACATTACTCTAAGCAGGTGTCACATCATAAACACACAAGCAGCCCCTTGGAAATCTTTCTAAACTGCTTGTGTACTTCAAACTATGCCTGCGCTTCTCTTGGGACTTGATTAGGTAGATCAGTGGTCTGCATCTCCATTCAAAAATTTTTAGGGGTCCACAAATGAAAAAAGGTTGAAAACCACTGAGGTAGATAAGAATCCCCAAACACACACTATTACATTTTCTCCCCCTTGTGAGGTGAGTCCAGTAAGCTTTAGTACTAGAACTGGGTACCATTTTTGCAGGTAAATGGTGTATTTACAGGAAAATGCAGCCTCAGGGCAAATGGAGAGAATACTGCCAGCCAAACAAAGCCCAAAAGAAAAATTAATAATGAAAAAAGTCAAAATATTTTATTAAGAAAACAAGCTTTACTTTTAAACTATGGAATAAAAGACATGCAAAAGCTAAATATGATGCTGTCTTTCAGGTTGGATGGAACATTTTGTCCAGCTCCAAATTATTATTTTTTTTATTAATGACTGTTCCATTTTAGTAAGAAATAACAGAAAAAAGTCACTTTGGATTGCCTTAATTGAGTATTTTTTTTCAGGGGTTCTGCCACTGACCTAAAGAAATCAGCTGTTTATACAGTCCTGCTAATCATCTCAACTTTGCCACTGGGGAAACCAAAGCACAGAGAGGTTAAGGGACTTGCCCAAAGCACACTGCAAGTAAGTCACAGGGAGAAGATATGAATCTGTGTCTTCTGCTTCCTAATTCCATTCTAAAGCCATGAAAGCTTTAGTCCCTGCATCTACAAGGTCTGAATATATGCAGAAAAAGAGCAAAATAAGGTTCAGTTTGGGATAATGTTTAATGAAAACATTCCCCAAAAATAGGCTCAGTGTTGGAGCTGGAACTAAAGCACGAATGGCTGAGAGAGACAATGGGGGAGCAGACAGCAAACAACACAGAAGTCAGCAGGTGGTATAAGCACAGAAAGACCAAAGCAGCTTGTGGATGCTCACCCCAAGGTCTAACGTGCTGGAGGAAGGAAAGCATGTATCCCTGGAATAAACCTATCTGGGATGCCATTACCCATCTCTAGGGAGAGGTTGACAACTGGAAAGAGCAATGACAAGTTAGGAAAGCCCTGGGAAGGAAAGACTGAAGGAGCAAACAATAACATGTTTACAGCTTTTGGAAGGGTGTAAACTCTAGGGAAGGAAAAGGGTAATTTACGGCAGTGCAGAAAAGGGTGCAACATGGAGGGATGAGAGTATTGAGGTAGAATATAGTCCCTTGTGAAATGACCATGAGCATTTCCCATAGGATGTGCGCTCATCTCCAAGGAGCCAAAGGGCAGTTACGTTCCTTGGACATTCACCACTAGCCTGGAGAAAATGGTAGAGAATACCCCATGAGGAATGTGCCAGCCCCAGGTCCCAGGAGAGAGGCAAGATAAGCTAACAGGTTGCTTCAGCTTCTGAGATTCCATCCCAGAGATTCAGGCAGACATCCCCTTCATTACACAGATTTCTGACAGCCTTTCAGTTTAAGCTTTCCTGGACAGAGTCTGGTTTTTTCACAAGAGACCAAGCCCTGCTAAAATGCTGAACTATTCCACTACAGGGCATCAAGGCTGGACAGGGCTGAGTCTTTATAGAAATGGTCTCAAGGGGCAAGGACCTGGAGAGAATATAAAAGGGATACCAATAGTAGATTTTTCAGAGGATGCCTGGCTCTTCTGCCCAGAAGATGTCAAAGTCTGAAGACTGGGATGCAAACAGAGAGGGACAGTGGTACCCAAGCATGACACCATGCTGCACAATCCCAGGCTGAAGCTGCAGTGAAGTACTCTTTAATAACCATGTTTACTCCCTGCAGAAGCAGGAAGTTAAAGTGAAAGGGATTTAGCTCCCAAAGGCAGTAAATCTGCCAGTTATCTTCATTGCACAAGAAACTTTTGCTAGATAAATGCAGCAACAACATATTTGATTGGCCAATTCCTCCTCCTGCCAAGAAATAAAGTAGCCATCTATTACCCTCTAGAGACAAAGTGTCTTTTCCTGTGCAAGTCAGCTAGTCTCAGATCCAGTTCCACTTACCCCTATCATTTACCTCACACCATCGATCTCCGCTCAGTGTTCTTTCGGAGATGAGATGTCTGTTGGTGACAGATTCTGCACTCAGTAGACGGAAATTTAGTTTTTAGAAGCTAAGCAAGCAGCTTAGTAAAGTGGATGTGGAGAACAGCAGGTGCTTGTATGAAACCTGCAGTGGCCTAGGAAAATGAATTATAAACCAGAAGCTGCTCAGACACAAAAGGCACTTTCATTCCCCTTAAACCATTTGAAACTCTGAACACTTCTCTCTTCTCCCACAGCCCCTGCCCAAGAGCTGATTGGACTCTGCAACCCTAGATTCAAAGGGGATTGATATGCATACATGTAGAACGGACCTGCCTCCTGGCAGTCATTCTGTTGCTACAATTAACCAACAAAAGTAATGTTTTTTTCTGACCTATTCAAGTTCTTAAACCATGTCACCCATGGTGGTGGCTGAGTGCCTTCCACAGACACACAGACTGATGTGACTAGCATCTCTCATACTCTCAGTTCTTTTAGCATTTAATGCATGAAAATAAATTCCAAACTTTAGCACAATGTCAGCATACAAAGAGAAGCCTACGTAGCCATTCTCATTTCAGCTGCCTCAGGTTCACTGGTCAGGTTGAGAGGTGCCATGGGCGATTTCTCTGAAATGCTGGGGTCAAAACTTTTACTAAATCCTAACACTCTCTCTACCCCAGAAATTATCATCTGCCAGTTCTGTCCCTGCTATTGTTTAAACACAGCTGGGGATTGCCCTGGATAAGAGAAGTCCAGCGATGGTCCTTACCTGAGAAATGAAGAATTCCTCACCCGCTAAATTGGAGAGAAGGTAACAGGAGAAAACACGGGCCAGGCATGATTCTGGCTAGGAACAGTCCTTCCCTTGGAAGAGTTCCAGGCTCTTCCCCTCCGAAGGACTCTGCAGCTGCTTTGCTCAGAAGCCTCAGGTAGTCGGTGACAGCACCAGGTATGGTAGCAGGGAATAGTGCCTCCACGTAGCCAGAGACCGCACTGGGGATGTGCAGCAGCACAGCCAGAAACAGGACTGGAGATGTGCAGCACAGCCCTCTAGCTGCAGCAAAACCTTACTTCACTTTTGTGTCAGGAGACCCTGGCGTTCTCTCTCTCATGCTCTAGCTACGGTCTGATCAGCTGCAAACATTCCCTAATGAGAGCTGCACATTGAAATCATCCCCGTATTATGGCTGCTTCCCATGAAGGTTTTCCTGCTAATTCGGATAATGAGTCAGAAACTCTGCCTTTTTCATCCTTTCTGTTCTCGGAATGTCCCTGAGCCCTGCTCTTCCTTCTCCCTCTCCCACAGCGCCCTGGGGATGGAGCCAGTGGGAGGAAAACAAAAAAGAGACATTCTAGGCAGCAAGATTTTTACAGAAAGACAAGCTGGGTTTTGCTGTGCTTGTGATATAAGGCAAGCAGGCCCAGTGCTGGCTCCCAGCATGTTCCCCATTCCAGGGAGCAGGGGCTGGCTCAAGCCACCCAAGAGACCCAGAGCTTGCATTTGGCTATTTTTGTGGGGTGGAAAAACTGAAATCCTGCTTTGTGTCTGATTTATCTGTTAAGCAGCAGATTTTCAACAGCATCAAGCTCTGATTTGGCTCTCATGTGCACAGGTGTACACTGGTACAATTCCAGCTTGCTCAGTGGTGTCCATCCTGATTTACATCAGTGTAAGGTGAGATGAGACGAAAGTCCCTACAGTCCAGCTTTTTCTATGACGCCACCCTCTCTCCTGGTACAGCCCGCAGCTCGTGCTGCTTCCCAAAACCCCAGCAGCTCTTTCCTAGTGCTTCAGACTGGCTCTTTAGCCTCCCACAACCCATTCCCTCACCCCCTCAAACCCTGCCCATGCTGTGACCCCAGCTGCTCAAGCTTCTGTCATGCTGTGCTACATCATTCCTGCAGTGCTTCAGTGCCCCAGATCAGGAGCATAACTGAGTGGGGAGGGAGACCGGGGCAGCAGCCCTGGTTGCCACTTTTGGGGTGGGAGGGAGGGTTGGGGACACAAAAGTAGCTGCTGCTGCAGAGATGGCTGACCAAACTGCCACCATCAGCTGGTGGCAGCTGGCACTGCCCTGCTATGCCTCTGCTCCAAATCACACTGGTTCCACATCACCTCCAGTCTACCAGGGTCTCCCGCACCCCCAGGGGTTCAAGTCTTCCCTTCCTCCCCTCACAATGCTCCCACACCATATCCTTGGTCTACTACTGCCACACCCCTACATTTTTTCCATAGCTTATGGAACCAGTACAGCCAGCCCCCAACAGTTAGATCCTGACTAGCTCCAGCTTACCCAGTAACACTCACACACAGCTAATAAAGGGTAAATAACTCATGATACAGAGCACCAGCCAATGTCAGAGATCAGGTGGGACCAGATGTGCGAGCAGATTATTCCACATCTCCCTGCAGCAGGAGTCTTACAGCTTCCTCACAAAAACTGCTGCTGGCCACCATTGGGGGTAAGGTCCTGGACTAGACGGTCCTCAAATGATCCCATGTGGCATCTCCTCTGTTCAAAGGGGCTCCATCCACACTGCATCCCTGGAGACTTACAGCAATCCTAGGCCACTGAAAAGCCAAACAGCCCTGATTATCTCCCCCTCGGAGGCCCAGTGCCCTGTGCAGAATGTGTTCCCCTGTGAGTGCAGGAGGAAGTCCCGTTCTGGTCTGATTCCACAGGACTTCTGCCTCACAGGTGCCTCACTGACAGGCAGCAGGTTATTTTGCCAGTACAGGCAGCTCCGATGACCTACTTCTCTGGTGCCACTGGAGTTCCAGCCCAGAAAAAGAGGCAAAGGGGCAGTGTCTTATCTACTTAGCCTCATGGAGACAAGATTTGTTTTTTCTGTGGCAGCAGTGTATATCATTTTGCAGGAGCAGAGGGAATGATTGGATTGTGCTGATGAATAAGATGGGAGCAGAGCTCCTTCATTTTCTGAGATCTGGCATTCGTGTCCATAGCAGCATAAACTGACTGTTTCTATCACAGGAAGCCACCTCTGACTGACTGTCAGCTCATTACAGGCTGCAACAAGTGCTTGACTGTGCACATCCTCTGCCAGCGGCAGAAAGTGTGTGTACTGGGGTGGGCACAGTAATCACAAGGCACAACTTCAGACACAGGCCTGTACCCTCAGCAATGGGCTGCCTTCCAGAAAATCTCATATACAGAGCCCAGAGATGTCCCTAATAACAAAACAATCCCCCTGTGGCCTCACACCACCCAGCCCCAGGCAGCGTCAGCAGATGACTCTGCAAAACAGAAATCAAGATTGGCTTGAAGCAAAGGCCCCGTTACAAACTTCCTAGAATCGGTGGGAAGTTTGGAATCTACATTGAGATTTGGCCCCAAACTGACACAGGGCAGAACAAAATGCGGAGCAACAATGAACCAGGCAGGAGGCAGCGGGACTCTCCCTTTGCATAGCTAAGAGCACTGAGTTTTGATGGCAACTGCATTAGCAGGGTGGAAATCCTAGATAAAAATCCTCTGCACATCCACAGGAGCTGCTGGAATCTATGGGCACAGTGTCAGCTGGCACGTGGCGGGGACAGAGTGCCCACTCTTGCTCCTGTTGTTTGCCTCAGTTATCAAAGCCCTCGCTGAACAGTTCAGACAGCGTGTGCTAATTAAAGGTAAACAGAAAGGGCCAGAAATGAACAAAGCCTCCTTATATGCAGCAACCCATTTGCTCATACCATGAGGCCTCTGGAACAACTCTCACAAAGGTTTTATAATACTAGCAGAGTTTAAAGAGTTTTGGGGTTTGGAAATGAATGACCACAAAGTTAGTTGTCACACTCTCCCTCAGCAAACCCCCTACCCCAAACTGCAGCAGAAGGGCAAAGAAAAGGTCGTGAGCCAGATGAACTACCCCGATATGCATCTTGCTAATTCCCTGAAAGCCATCTTGGCTTTGTAGTAGGATAAGCTGCTGAAATGCAAGCGCAACAGAAGAAGAAGGATGGACGGAGGGATTGGAAATCAAACTGGTCACATTACCAAACTGTAATCGTCTGCCACAGCAGCCCCATCAAAATCCCTGCAAGCTGCTTCCGTCAGTTGAGGGCGGCTGCTGTGTCCTTCATACCAGCCACATACAATCGCCGGATTAAAATGCACATGTTGTAATTACCCAGACAGGGTGGGGGATTAGCCCAAACTTCCTACAGATAGGATTTAACAGCAGAGCTGCAGCTCTGTGTCCCCTGGTTTAACAATGATAAGGCAACATTAACATCCTGAATCAAAGTTTCCCTGATCCAGGATGTTTCTTTGATAGAGTCACTGCAGATGTGTGTGTGGGGTAGGGGCAAAAACAGCTTAAGCAGTCTGGGTCTGGGATAACTTTTATGAATGCAATCCAGACGGATACTTTAAAAGAGAGGCAATGCACACAGGATGCACTGTGAGCTTTCCTCATGTGGCTCTGTGCAAAAGGACTGGATAACCTAGTAAAAGTTGGTCCAAAAGGTAGCACATCTGGTGACCTGAGGAAAACCCCCCACATGTCAGAAACATTTTTAATGGAAGAAGCAGAGAAGCAGACTCCAGGAAAGATTGATGCAATAATATATGTCTCCTGCCTTGCTGAACCTTATTATGATATTTATGTACCCAATGGGATGAGTAAAACTGACCCTTTACAGGGGTAGGCAATTATTTTGGGAGGAGGGCCACTTACTGAGTTTTGACAAGCCATCAAGGCCTGCATGACAGGCAGCCAGGGGCAGATAAATATTAATTTTCAAATATTTTTAGGGTCCCTGCAGGCCAGATAGAATGGCCTGGTGGGCCACATCCGGCCCGCGGTTTGCATTTTGCCCACCCCTGCTTTAGAAAGATGCTGAAATAAATGGTCCTCTGTTCTCAGTACAAAGTAGCAAGGGAGACCTCTAGTTGAATGAATGTGACCAAAGGAAATAAGTTCCTCTTGCATTAAATGCTAGCTAATATATTATTGTGTTGTAAGTTATGCCACCTCATACTGCCTCTTGAAAAAAAAACAACTGCCCCAGACATAAAATAAATTAGTAAAAA